GGATATAATCATTTACATAGAACCTAGGGACCCTTTTATCCAGGAAGATAAAAGTTATTTTTATTATTAATCTTTGATCATAAGTCAGCAAGTAGGCTGTGTGTCATATATATATAAATAAAGGGAATTGACTGTAAGTCAGCAAGTAGGTTGTGTGTCAAACTATAGAATTGACCGTAAGTCAGTGAGTAGGCTGTGTGTCAAACTTTAGAATCAACCGTAAGTCAGCGAGTAGGCTGTGTGTTGAGCTAAATAACCTATTAAATAGGAAACTCGGATTGCATGCTTGCAGTATTGATAAATAAATTTATCAAAATTTAATATGTTTTTGGGGGTTTTTTGCCATTTTCACTAAACTTTAATAAACAACCATCCACATAAAGCTATACCTATATGAAAACTTACAATATTTTACAACCACTCACCAAGTTTATAAAGGTAATATTGGTAAAAAATCTTAGCTTTGAAGTAAAAAGTAATGCTGTTTTGAATAAATATAGCTTGACATAGAGAGCCTCTATCAATGTGTGAGGTGGCTTGTTAGAAAGCTATAATGTCATAGTTTTATTTTTGTTTAATATTGATGTTTGAATTTGTTATAAAAATGAGATATTTTAAAAAACTGATTTGTTACACAAGTCTAATTTTCTATTTTATATACTCACTTCCTGTGACATATCATTTGACTGTTAATTAATTTATTTCGTGCGTATAATTATGGTACAACGTCACACCCTCCAGCCAAATTTTCATCACTGTATCACATCACCTCATGAAATCAAATTTCTACATTCTTTTAAATTAAGGCTGAAGTATCTGCTGTGATACTTTCTACACTGATTATTATATTTATGGTTCAGTTTCTTAACTGACTGCACCTAGCTAGGATTTCTACTATTTAGGTGTTGGCCTAATAAAAATAAAGAAAATAATAAAAAAAAAATATAGTAATTAATTAAGAATTGAGTTAGAGCAAAAGATTTATGTGGTTTTGGAAGTGGGTAGATAATTCCACTGGCAAGAGTTTATTTTAAGAGATATTTATGTTCATATTTTTATTATTAAGATGTTATTGTTATTACAAGATAATAGTTATATTTCTAACTGATTATTACATGAAAGAGAAATTTACAACATATTTATACATGTTAAAGGTTCTATCATCTAATTCTCCGACTTCATTGAAATCCTAATTTATACTAATTAATATATTCCTTAAACATTATTTAAACCTTCTGTGTTCAAGTAATTTCTAGTCAGTGTGAGTCATGTAAAATTCTTTCATTTAAATATTATTCTGTGACTTTGTAGTTCATTACACTTTAGAATGTTGGAATATTTATATCTCCAATATTTGGGTTATTTTAGCATAGTGGAAGTTTGTTGTTACACGAAATGTCATACAGAACTCATTGCTCCTGAAACTTCACCAGTATATAGTTGTTACCTCTCTAAATTGGAGATCAAGTTCAGATCCAATTCAAATCCAGTTTATCACTTACTTTTTATTGCCAGAATGTTTGCCGTGTATTGTAAAGCTACGTTGCACAATATAAAAAATTAGTGTAACATTTCAAATTTCCACTATGCTGGTTATTTTCCGAGAGCTATTTATTTGATTGGTGCGCCTTATTAATTAGTGTAACATTTATTAAATTATACTGGTTTATTTCTTGTTGAGTTATTCACTTCGTGATACATGTAAATCATTTCCGATTTATATGTTCGTTTCCCGTGATCTATAATTTACTATTTTACATCATCAAAACATGGATTTTGCACCAAATGTAATAACCATCACATCTCAATCTTCATATTCAATATATAATAGATACAATTGTTTGCTGAAATTGTTTTTGGAAAAAAGTGATTATGGCAATCATTTAGCTTTTCAATGAATAAACATTAAAATAACTATGTTATTTCATCAACTATTACACATTTGGATCATTTATCAATCAATACAGCAAGCACTTATGATACTGCGCATGACATTTCCCGCAGGAGTAAAATGTAAAAAATTTTATATTAATATACTAACTAATATTAATCTATAATACAAGAATTATAATTGATGAAAATTTGGACCCTGTTTTGCGTAGTAGAAGAAAACATCCTAGTCCAAAACCCATATTAATACATATATTATTATTTATTATTATTACTATCATTATTATTTACTATTATTAATATTAATATTATTCATTATTGTATTATTGTCATTATTATTATTATCATTATTATTATCATTATCATCGTTATTAAAAACCATTTATACGAAATAAATAGTTATAAATAAATAAAATAAACAATTAATTATACCATCTATCAACATTTAAAAATTCATTTCCAACTTTTTCCAAAAACTCTTGAAGTGCAATCCTAACATCAACTCTGTCAACGCCTATAATTTTAATTGCCAATTGATAAAATTCCGGTATTTGTTTTTTCAATCCAGTTAATCTTGCACCTTTGTAACCATTTATTTCTTTTTTCTCATAGCTATAGTCAATTACATCCGTATCATCTCCACTATCAGTTGTTCTTCTAACATCGTCATCCCATTTTGTTTTACATAACTCTCTTAAAACACTTATGACCAGCGGTGACCAATTTGTCATTTCCCTTTGCTGTTGATTTGTAACTGGAGAATTCATTAATCTTAAGTATCTTTCAAGAACCTGTATAGATTCTTCAACAAGTGACGGTAATAAGTCTTGGTCATCATCACCAAATTCACGATATAAATCAAAAATAATCGATACAAATACTGAAAGTGCTAGAGTTTCTTGCTTTGTAAGATTTGGCATTTGTTGAACATATCCTGCTTTTAATAAAGCAGAACGAAGTTCATGATTTGCATTAAAATCGTGAGCAAATTTGTATGAATTATAAAGACATCTTAACCATCTATTTCTAAATTCTGCTGGCATTTGAGCAAGATATTGAATTTGTACTTTGGATCCATTGTTTAATGGATCATTAAATGCAAGATCTTGAACAGATTGTATTGCTATAAGTTGTGCTGCACATTTAATAATTGCATGCGGAAAGTCTATATCCATTCTTAAATTGGGGTTGTTATTAATTGAAAGATTTTCTGAATTGGTTGAAACCTCTTTTGAATCTCTTCTTAATAAAGTTCCAGATCCTATTATAACATTACCTTTCGAACCATGATTATTATCATTTTTGTTGTTTTCAATTATATCACCGTTGGGAGGAACTTCAACTTCCAAAAGCTCTTTCGGTGTTGTCCATTTGAATATATCCTCAAGTGTAGTGGTTACAATTCCCCAAGTTACATTATCAAATTTCGTTCCATTCTTAGTTATTAAATTGTGAAAACAACGAATACCTGTTTGACCCAATTTTTCATTTCGACGTTTCAACAAAGCCACAAGTAAATCTAAAAGTTCAACCAAAAATTCCGGCTTTGCAGAAAAAATATCATGAAAACGGGCATAAATGTCCACCATTAAACGAATAGTTTGAATCCAAATTTCTGATGTGGCTTCCCTTCTTTTGAAATCTCGAGCCGAGGTTGTCTGTTGTGATAACACTGGTTCTTTGAGGTCTTCAAAAATTGGTATAATAACATTTCGAAAAATTTTCATCCAATAATTAATTTCAAAAAGATAGCCAGTAGATTTCAAGATGTCAAACAAAGCATCTAATGCCCTATTCCTTGCTGACTGTAGATCAGAATCTATAACTAATCTTGAAAGTCCAGATACTATTGGAAACCATTTCAAAAAAAAATGTTCCTCTTCAATACGATGTAACTTCTTCTTTGTTATAATTGTTTGATCAGATATAGCAGTGTTAGTTGTAGTAGAGGAAGAAAAGGTTGTTGTTGTTGTTGTTGTTGTTGTTGTTGTTGTTGTTGTTGTTGTAGTAGTTTTTGGTTGATTGTCTTTAATTTTTTGTTTATTATTATTACCATTGTTGTCTATTTCAATTACATCAACAACAACATCATCATCTTTAACCAAAACTTTAACACAACCTTGTAGCATTTTAATCGATTCGTTTACTATATCTTCGTCCTTTGCATTAAATGCAAATTCCACCAAACAATTAACAAAATCAACAAATGCTGGTCCGATCAATTCTAAATGTTTTTCATATACTAATTTAGCAACACCAAAAGCATTTTCAACTAAATGTGGATTCTCATCTGACGCCGCTCGACCAAAAACTACAAAAATACTTTTCCAACCAGATTTTATATTTTTTGCTCTGGCTGAAATCATCTGAATAAATGATTGTATGATAAGGTCATGTATATATGGTGACGGATTGATCTTAATGACTTGTTCAAATGGCTTCATAAATTCACTCTGTGTATTATAATGTGATAGTTCATCTCTTTCTAAGAATTTCATGCTTAATTGTCGGAGAGAATCAATGGCAAAAGTAGCAACAATATTATTTGGGTGACATCCAACGGTAATAAAATGTGGTTGTAAAATCTTCCAAATATGTGTCCACTCAAATCTAATACGTGACATGTTATAATATGCTGTCAAAAAAAAGAAATTGTTATTATTATTGTCATTGTTAAACCTTCATATGAAATATTTATATATAAATATTACCAATTTCTACAATTTTCTGTAGACTAAACATTCTTGGTGATGTTCTTGAAGATTCAACTTCCTCAGTAGAAACCGAACACAAGGCAGAAAAAAAATAAACAATAGCGTCACCACTTAATTTTACACTATTTGTAAAAATCCTATCTATTGCTATTATTGTACTTTGTGATTGGAATTCTTTCATTACACCACTAAGTGAACTTCTACGTGCAATGATGCTTTGCCTTGGTGTTGGAGATGTTGGAGCTACCAAATTTGAGGAATGTGGGCCATTTCGACTATTTTGTGGTGAATAATCTAGACCAGTGACACCTTCTGCACTATAAATAACAGAACCAGTTGAACTATCTATTAGTTGATAACGTTCCATTGTGGAAACGGTTTTTAATACAATAAGCCAGGATGATTGTAAGCCTTCACCATAAGTATTAGCAGCTGATAATAAAGTTCTAATGGCTAAAACATTTTTTGATCTCATCTCATCAACATGATTTAAACCTGTTAGTTTTGCCAAAGATGATACAAAAGCATCACGTTCTATATCCATTCTAAATAAACTACTGATTCTAATAGCACCTAAAAATCCATCTAAACAAAGTTCTATTGCTTCAGTGTCAGCTTGAACAAATTCGATTGATTTATTTAAACTATTTGTTGAATGTGGATTATCAGCTTCTTCAAATACTAAACTGAGAGTAGCCATTAATGGCCAACATAATATGGCAAACATTGGTTTGACATGATCAGCATGTGATGCACTTCTCCAAATATTAGGATTTTGACCCTGTCTATTATTACTACTTTTTAATAAAGCTTGACTTTTCTTTTGCATTTGAGAAATTTCGCGCTCGTATAATTCTTGACGTTCACGCTCGTTAGCATTGTTGATTGCTTTTTTTGCAACTTCGGAGATTTGTTCTTCTTCCATAACGATTTCGTTATTTGCTATTTCATCAAATATTTTACCCAAGAACTCATCAGGCAAGTCATTATTATTATTTATACCTCGATTATTTTTAATGAATTCGCTCTTGTCCATCCTTCTTTTAACTTGATTAGAATGTTGATCAGTATTTAACATAATCACTGAGTAAGCAAGTATATAGGCAGTATCAGCATTAGCAAAAATCTCTGGGTTTGTTTCACAATATCTATCAGCAAATTTTTCCATTATACGATCAATTTTTTGAGACTCTCCGGGTAATCTGAATGATTGAAGGAACATACGTAAAGCATCAACAAAACCCAGTCCAGTGAAATCCATGTGATCAACAAAGGCGTGCATAGTTTTGATAGCATCGGAATCACCTTCACCCAAATATTCACCAATAGCAGTTTTACTGACTCCAGGAGTTGAAATTAAAAAGCTGATAATACTATTGGTATCATCTTTTATGAAATTGTTTTGAAGCAAAAAATCTAAACCTTTTTGTGGTTTTGTGTTAAATAATTTAATGCCTTCACGCAAAGTTTGTTTACGTGACATCATTTCACGATATTGAGCAGGATTATCTTCATAATCGAATGTTCCGACACTACTAGTGCTCGAATTTGAATGAAAAGTGGTAATATTCACATTTAATAATGGATTTTTTGAAAAGATTATCGGGGCCTTATCTTCAAAATATTCGGAAGAATGATTCCTTGTTGGAGATAAAGATTTCTTTGTTATGCCATTCCTATTTTCTAAATCTTTGCTCCATTCAATTAAAGATTTTACTATGGCGACCAAGCATCTTAATCCTTTCACTTTGAGAATTTTATCATGGATTGCAGCAATTTCTGAAGCTGAAGAACTCGAACTCATAAATCCACCGGAATTGGATGTGTTTTTGGAGCGGGTTTGAGCAACTTTGGAAAGAGTAGTAACAATATGTTCAAAGACACTAGCCATTGAAATATCACAATCATAATTTAAGTAAATATCAAGTAAAATTTGAGGTTTTAAACAAATTTTCATCAAACCTTGTAGGACCAATTTTTTTTGTTGATAAGTTGCATTTGACATATCTAAAAATTTTAGATAAATTTCACTAAATAAAACCTCAAGCTCTGATTTCAAAGGAGCACGATAATATCTAAGTAACATTAAGAAATTTGAAAGAGACAACTCAAACAATTGTTCATTAGAAGAAACGCCGCTTTGAGATAAAGATACACAAAATGATTTCCTTATAAGATTAATAAATAATTCGTCATTGTGTAAAACAGGACCAGAGTTATCGAGTATTGACAAAATCAATTCTAGTACTAAACAGCGACCACGAATATTAATTTCCTCGCTGCTGCTAAAATTATCACCTGCATCTTTTCTAACAGAAAGTTGAAAAAATAAACTAAGTGTAAGGTAGAGATCTTTACGTAAAACATTGAATTTTTCATGAGCTTTATCCAAAAAATTTAAGTTTGTTTTTAATTTGTGTTTTGAATTATTTGGGGGAGGAATTTTAATTGTTAAGTCTTTTTTAGAAGAAGATCTTCGTCTCAACAGAGGTGTTAAATTATTATTATCTTCTTTATTAATTTGTTTAGAATTTTTAATATTGATTTGATTGTTTGATAAATTTTGATCTTGATTATCATTATTTGATGATGATGATGGTGAATCATCTATATGATTTTCTATGTTTTTGATTTTTTCTATAGAATTTTTGGAAATAAGTTCGGATATTTGGTTAGGTGAATGACTAGTAACGATTTCATCTTTATTAGAATTAACAATATTTTCATCGTTATTTTTATTATCATCATCTTCTTCTTCTTCATCGACATTATTATTATCTCCATTTATATGATTATCCTTGGTATTATTTGTTGTAGAAACATTAGATGATGCTTCTTGTTCATTATTGACAGTAGTACATTTATTTACATTTTGAAATTTTAAATCGGGTGAAGGATCATTGGCAAGTGATTTTTTTGAATCCATTCCATTTTCTATATTTGATTCAACATATAATACATCATCATCATTATTATCAAAATCATTATTATTAACATTAACATTAACAACAACATCAACATTATTTTTATCATCAACATTATCGTTGTCATCATCAATATTTTTATTATTGCTACCAATACTACTGACACTATTATTGCTGCTGCTGTTATTTTTACTAATAATAATAATGCTGTTGTTGTTAATGCTATTATTAGCGTCAATAGGCATATCATTTTTTGTATGTTCTTCTAGTTTATTTAATTCTACGGAAAATTCTTCACATCGAGTAACAATTAAATTGGCTATTTGAGTCAATTCAGCTTTTGCAGTTGCTTGATTGACTTGACTTTTCGAAAAACAATAAATATTACAGCAAGTTTGAATAATTTTCAGTAAAGTAATTCCATGAACAGGGCATTTATCAGTTGTTACAATAGTCAGCAATACTTTTAATAGTTGAAGTTGAACAGTTTGATCAGTTTGTGAGCCAGTAAAACCTATACATATAGTATGAACAACATCATCAATTAGTTTTGTAGGGTTAGGATAATTATGATTGATTGAATTTGTTGATGGAGACTTTGTTGTAGCGTTATTAATTGACTGGATGATTCCATCATCATCATCATCATTTTTATTATTGTCAAAAGGGGAATAATAATCAAGTAAAGATAAATCATTTGTTTCGCTGAATCTACTAACAATTATACCAGACGATGATTTAGTTCTAGCATCACGTTTTTTTGAAAGAGATGATTTTGGAGAAGTGATTATGGTTGATCCTTTGAGTAAGCCATGTGCAATAATTTTTTGTAAACAATCCAAAGCAATCACACGAACATTTACCGGTATCGAATTGGAACAAGCAACTTTAAAAGGATGCCAATAATTGTCAGCCATTATTCTAGGTAATTCTTCACCACTACGTGAAAACCAATTACTAATTGATGAGCGACCTATAGAAGGATTTAACGGAGATGCATTTTCAACATTTTTATTGTTATTCATGATGTTATTGCCATTAGTACTAATAATACTGTTAATAGTATTATTACTATTGTTCGAGATAGATTTATCAATCATTGAAATTTCTTTTGTTGGAGAAGCATTAGATCTTTGAAGTTCTATTTTGACATCGTTATTTATTACTTCTGAGGATTGTTGTTGTTCTGTAGTATTAGAATTTTTAATAGTCAAAATTTCTTTTTGAAGTTGCTTCAAAGCACCAGCACAAATTTGTTCCAACTCCTTTTGTTTTGAAGATTGGGCTTCTATAAGAAGCCTTTCTAAAGCACCTTTTAGGATGCTCATTATTAATTTTTAGTGTATTAAGTTTTCTATTTCTACTTAAATGTTTTAATTTCTATCTATTAATTAAAAAATTTTTTATATAAATTTACCACGCACCCTCGGAGGTAGTGATTTGCATCTGTTGTGAACTTCGGCCAAATTATTTTTTTGTCGATCTTTGCTTGTGTAATTGCTATTTTGTTGATCATTTATATTGTTATTAATAGACATTCTTAATATATGATTAATTAGAGTAATAATATTTTTATTAATTAATCAAAATGTATAAGAGATCTACCTTCAAAACAATTCTCTTGAATAAAAGAAAATAACAATTAACACACAATAATTAAATCAATACCCAAAACCATTTGTCAGTAAGATTGCCCATTCAATCTGATCCACATATGGGGCGCAGGAAATAGAAATGGACCTACAGTCAACCCTCCATAAGTGCACCCCCCTTTGGAATGGACAAGAGCATGCATTTATGGAGGGATGCATTTAGGGAGGGTAAGAATCTTATTGGCTGCATGTGACCATTTGGGATATTGTGTTAAAAAAATTTTTTATTTATTATTATATTATAAAAATTGATCCATTGTAGTTTGTTTCATTGAATTTATTTTTTTATAATTAATATATCGATCAAGAGTATTAACTTGTTTTAATTGTTCTTTAGTATTTCCTTGTTGTAGTAAAAAAGCATAGACAATTTCCAAACTTTTGGAAGCTCCATCAGCATTTATTATTATCAGTTTAATGCTATCATCATCTTCATTATTGTAATAATAATGGTAGAAGATTTTTTATTTATTAAAGCTTGTGTAAATGTATTTGTTTTTAAAACTCTTTATTCTTGTCTTGCCTTCTTATATATAATAATTTCGCCTATAAAAGGTTCACCATCTGCATTCTTATTCTGTCAATTAAAAAGAAAGAGTTAGTAAACATTCATTTAATCCTTTATAATTAAAATTATTTAATTGACTATTAAAAAAAAGCATCTAACTCTTTATCCTCTGTGTGATTCTTAACAATTCTGCCTATAAGTTTTATTATCTACATAATAACTCTTTGTAGATTAAAAAGAAAGAATTAGATTATGTATATAGATGAAAAATAATTAATCAATGTGACACGAATTTTGTTTCTTGTTGCACATTGGTCACGTGAAAGTCACGAGCGTGCATTTAGAGAGGGTGGTTTTATATGAATGGGATTGGGAAAAGTCCATGCAGTGCATTTATGGAGGGATGTATTTATCTCTTAAGTCCCAAGGTTGGGAATGAGACATAGCATGCACTTATGGAGAGTGTGCACTTATGGAGGGTGCACTTATGGAGGGTTGACTGTAACAGCAAAATCATGATTGAGATAACTAAAAAAGAGATTTTGACCTAAAAATTCAGTATTCATATATCATTTCCTTATTTATAGTAAAAATAGGGGGATATTTTCCAAACAAAATAATAACAATAATATAATGTAATAATATAAATAAAATAAAAATAATTTACATTAAATAGAATTTTTTTCAGTTGGTAGGCATTAAGTACTGTACACTTTTGCATTCCTGTACTGTATGATCTGCAAATCAGCATTTCTGTATTAAATGTTACAAGTACAGAATCCATTTGATTGGTGGGAATGCTGTGTACTGTATGTTGGTGTATGACTTTTTTAAAAAAATTTCTATTTTTGTAGATCATACAGTACAGATGTCTATAAAATTAAATGTTCCATCAATCCTTTCTTCAACATATACAATTACTGGTTGCTCTTGATTAAAAATAAAATGATGATACTTTAAAATATTTGGTAATGGTTTAAAATATTTTTTTTAAATATTCATCCAGCTGTGAAAACAACTTTTCTTTCACCAGTTTCATCATAAATGGTTTGTGCATTATTATACCCATTTGTTGATAATTCTACAACATTAACAAGATCTTCTAAGTCATCAACTTCAGAATTTTTAGGTTTCAATTTAAACAATCCAAAAAATCCATCAGGGCAAAATTTGGTGTGGCTAGTTACCATAAAAGAATATGTAATTTTTTTTATGCTTGCCTTTTAGTACCTGCCATGCCAAATAAAAAACGAAAATGGCTATGCCACATACTCAACTCATGATTGGATGGTGCTTCGCCAATTTCTGGTTTATTTATTATTATAATAACAGTAATACATATATTTATTATATAAATTCGTGTTAATTATTTAAACCAAATACCCGGATTTATGTCTATCATTGCTTATTTTAGTAAAATTCCGATTTCTTGGTTCTTATATCTTTCTTTAAATATCTCAAAATTTTACTAAACAAAGTGGGTATAGTTCCTAAGCTAAAATTAACCTGTGTAAATAATTACATATAAAAACATTATTAACTCAAAGTTGAGATTTTGCTGTTAGGTATATTTCTATTTTCCGCACCCCATATACACACATAAATCAATTTTGTTTGTTATCAATCACCATTTTAAAAATTTTTTTTTTTAGAAACTAAATTACACACACACATATATGGGGCATTGGGGTGTTAGATATAAGTATAATCGCAAACATAGGGGAAACCAAATAATAAAACCTAATAGTAGAGATTTTTTGTCAATCATTTTCATAAACTCAAATTACTATTAATTAATTAAAGAAACGTAAACTGTTATAACTCATCATACAGATGAGAT